ACGTGGTTCCCTGTTAGTCCGCCGCCGTGTCACCTTAGCACGACGACAGCCTGTATCTAGTTTTCTCTCTCTTCAGCAATTCCACTTCATTCCCTTGTGGCCTTTAGGAGGGTTAGTAGTAAAGCTCCGGACTGGAATACTCTAGCCCGTGACAACTTTCCCAGCTTCATACAGATCCTAAATGGCTTGTGGGGCATCTCACTCTCCATACACAGGCGCTCTTAGCAGCTCAGCAGCAGCAGGTCCGACAGCTTAATATCCCACAGGCGACGCGGTCATGGCAGTCACGTTCCCGGCCTAAGACCTTCGACATGCTGAGAACATTAAATGCAGGCCTGTCACCCGCAGACTTTGAGGCAGACTCTGATCCAGAAAATATTCAGGTAGAACAGGAGCGGCTTACGCGGCGACTTAGGCGGATGCAACAGCGAGCGCGTGTTGCGCAATATGAGACAGCACGGTTCCTCCAATGTGAGCAAGTCATGCAGCAATTCCGCCAGCAAGCTAAACAGGCCCAGCCGGGGACAATGACATTCGCTGAATGGGAGGCTGGGATGGCACAGTTCCATAGGGCACGATAGCGGCGGCAAGAAGCGCAGAGACGACTAGGGCGTATCTCTCAGCAAACTACACGGGATATTAGTCAGCTCTAACAAGGATTAAAATACAGGGGAACAAGTTAGAGGAGTTAGATACATTGAAGGAGTTAAATAAGTTCATTAGGTTCATCTAGTTCATCCAGTTCATTCAGTTCGTCCACCCCGCAGCCTTGATGACTAATACCTTTACCCCACCAATAACAATCCTAACTTTACAACCACAATATAAAATCAACAGAAATAGATAAAAATAAAAGGAAAGAAGTTTTAGAAAGCTTGAGCTCCCTGCTATCATTAGGGAAAACATAATTTTTCTATATTGCTGGTTTGGGTGTTGACACTTACTATGATTTTCCCCTATAGCATATTAATTCCTATTTGAATTCCTCATCATCGCCAAATTCATAGCCAAACTCTTCAAGGAGTAGCGCAGTGTCATCTTCAAATGATTCTCCTATTGTCAACATAGGTTTGCTTACGCCCACTGCCTGATCTAGTTCTCTGAGCCTGCCAGGCTATCTTGTGCAGTAGCTAGGATTTCCACTTCTTTGATGATATCTTCATCATGGAAAATCGAGCATTCAGAGAACTCATCATCATCACCCTGTGTCCAACCCGCCTTGTCCTTGCCATCATTGCTTGCTGTATGATTACCTGGCTCTGATACCCCGGCAGCTATCTGGTCATCAAAGGCAGTGCCATCTAGACCTAAGAGCAGGCTCTCATCAATCTCCGTCGCAATACTTGTCACAATACTTGTTGTGATACTCCCTAGGCTGTGGCAATCTAAGTCTGTATCCTCCCAAGTCTTGCTGTCTGTATTGGGTTTGGCTTCTTCATTGCTTGCTGTATAGTTATCTGGCTCTGACACCCCAGCAGCTATCTGGTTATCAAAGGCAGTGCCATCTAGACCAGAGTGCAGGCTCTCATCATTCTCCGTCGCAATACTTGTTGTGATACTCTGAGGGCTGTGGCAATCTAAGCGTGTTTCCTCACAAGTCTTGCTGTCTGTGTTGGGTTTGGCTTCTAGTTTCTTGAGAAATTTGAAAAGTAATGGCTGACTGGAAGGAACAGGGAGGGCGTGAGGATCAGGGAGGCCAAGCCGTCTTCGTTCTTCACGTTCTTTGGCTTCCTTTTCAGCTCTCTTCTTCTTATTGGCTTGGCGTTTCTTCTCCTTTTCTCTAAGCTCCTTAGCTCGTAGTTCACGTTCCTCTTCACGTTCAATGCGTCGGATCTGTGATGCTGTAAATTGGAATCGTTTGTTGCTGCGCTGATACCGGCGGCGCACTGTCTTAGACTTTTCTAGAATAATGCGCCGCGGCTGATTGGGCATGGTATAGGGATGACAGGTAGGTTTAAATATGTGTTTGCCTAATCAAGACATAGGTATGCAAATAAATATAATAACTTCTAAGATTCTCCAGTTATTATAATAGATGGTGCTGAGTGCTGACCACGGAGAATGTGGGCAGCAGAGAGAGCTAGTATTAATCGCCTTGTCTAGCGGTAATATGTTATCCCGGCTAGAAGATCAACATGATTCCCCTCTTCCCATGGGAGTCACCACCACCTTTACAGATTGCTCGTTTAACTAGAGATATGATGGGTCTAAGAAGTTTAATCATTATTATCTAGTATTTACCTAAGTAAGTGTGTTGCTTCTTCCATATATAAGTAAGATAGCTATGTATATATATTTTCCGGCTTTAGTGCTGTGTAACCTTCCTTATTTATAAGGTTTTCCTCCGCCCTCGCGCACCCTTATTCGACAGCAGCTTAATCATATCCATATGCCCTTCCTGCACGGCCAGGGACAGAGGTGTACTCCTGGGATCATCACTATCGCTAATACCATCAATGATAGCTCCATGATCCATCAGGAGCTTAGCCATATTGATGTTCCCCTTGTGGGCAGCTATATGGAGAACAGAATGGCCTTTTTTGTTTCGACAATAAATATCTGCTCCTTTACAGAGCAGAAAATCAACAATATCTTCATGCCCTTCCTTCACAGCCAGCAGTAGTGGTGTATTCCCATCCCTACTAGGATAGGCAATAGCATCAACATCAGCTCCATGGTTGACTAGGGTGTTAACCATATCAAGGTCCCCGTTGCGGGCAGCCATATCAAGAGCATAACAGCCGCAATAATTATGTTGCTGAACATCTGCTCATTCCAACCACTTGCGGCGGCTGCTATGAGAGCAGTGTCTTCAAATTGCTCATAATCATTGATATCAGCGCCCCCATTGATTAAGAGCTGGACAATGCCTAGGTGGCCATTTCTTGCTGACTTTTGAAGGGCAAACCCAATCCTTGTATCAGGTTCAGTCAGAGCACCCTCCTTAATTAAGAGCCTGATAATACTCTCATCGCCGTTTTCTGCCGCCTCTGGAAGGGCCTCTAAAACCCAATCCTCATATTGAAGAGGATCTTTTTTGAGTTCTGGAAGGAAATGTGTGGCTAATTTTTTATCCCCATGTTTAATTGCGTAATAAAAGGCCATCCCATAGTAGAACGCATTGTTAGGGTGATCAAGATTCCTTAATGCGAGTTCCATAGTCTGTTCTTCACCGTTGGCACACGCCCATTCAAGAGCCTTTGAAATTTTAATTAGGCCCCAGAATCCAGTGTCTTTTTCCTGGCTGGTTTTGTAGAGGTAATCAATTGTTTGATGATAGAGACTCCGTGATGTTCGTGCAAAAGAAGAAATATCTATAACTGAGTCCAGACATTCTGCAATAGGTCGCACAAGCTCAGGTGGTAATGTCTCCATAATGATGGCTAGAACCAGACACTGATTAAAACATGTAAAAGTTAGGGGATGTAGTAAAGTTGTTTCTCTAATTAGTAAGGGTAGCCTGAGTCTATAGGTCACATGACTGAGGGCGCGCATCCAGGTTGGAGATGATCATATGGCTCTGTGAGTGCTGAATGGCTTGAGCAACCCTGAATAATCATTTAATCGCACCCGCTCAGTACTGTACATACAGGTAGGCCTTGCCATTTCCCATGGGAGTGACATGGTGGGACTCCCATGGGAGTGGGGTGGACGGGAAATGGGAGTACCCTCAACTCCCAAGTCCCAACGTCAGGAGTGGGAGTCCCATGGGTCCCATGGGAGTTTTTAGTCAGCAAAAATGGGTAGTTAGTTATAGCTAATCCCCGAATCTAGAATCCCAGTAAGTTGTGGTGAATTAGAAGAAGGATATTAATCTTGCCTTTGCAAGAGTAGAAATAATCCCTCGCTGCTGTCGATTCGCTCGAAGGGATTGTACTTGTGTCTCAGACCAATGCTTATCTGTAATATCATTTTGGGGATTTGCTTTAACCAGACCAAGCAGTTCTCGAAGACTGAGCTGGATCACATGCGCCAAACAAGGAATCCGTACAATAGGTATCTGGTTTGGCAGTTCAAGTTCATCAATGGCATCTTGAATATTCTCCACCAATGTATGGTTATTAGAGGCATTGTCAGTAGTAACTGCAAGCACTCGATCAATAATATCATGTTGTTGTAGTAGCTCAAGTAAGACTGTGCTTAAGTTTGCCCCAGAGTGCTCACCATAAACAGGCTCAAAGCCAAGTAATATCTCACGGTAGTTCCAATCCCTATCAATAAAATAACCAGTGATAGCCATGAATGCCTGCTGGAAAGGTGATGTCCAGCAGTCAAGAGCAATTGAGACCTTTGCAGTTGGTGGCAGTGTTAACAGGATCTTTCGATGTTCTTCCTTCACCATTGCTTGGAGCCGGCGACGAGCAGTTTTAGGTTTAAGTAACACTGGCTGTGATGGTGCTAATTGAGCCATGTTGACCAGATTTTCAAGGCCTTGATGTGCAAGAACCTGGAAAGGAAGATGTGACATGACAATGAATCTGACTTGTTCCCGTTCCCATTTTTCCTGTGAGAAAACTGATATTGAATGAGGACCTTGCTGAGCCTGTTTGATGACTTTAGTAATGAAGTGATTAGAGCTAGAAGGGATAGTAGACATACTGCAAAGGCAAGTGATTGCTGTATACTTTGCTGCTCAGCAGCATTGTTGGCGGCTCTTCGACATTTCTCCCCAGTATAATGGCGTTTCATAGAGTTCGTCCCGTTTGAGTGTTCATGGGGGTGAGGAAGAACAGTACCACACCTGCGACACATAACCTTGGGTTGTCCAGAAATATGATGGGCTACCTGGTTGAAATTCTTCCAGGCATCTGAGGAGCGCTTGCCATCCCAGCGAATCTTCTTTCTCTGATCTTCTATACTTGCATACTGGGTCTGTATCCACCAACTGATGTATTCTTCCTTTGACATATCTTCATAGAGAACATAAGACTTCTTCCGGTCAGGACCAACACGTCGGAGAGTGGCAGGAGCTAAAAATGGTTGTAGGAGATCAGATCCTGGACCTGAGGTAATTGTTTGCTGACTGTATATAAGACTTGGGGCGAATGATGGATCATCTGACTGAAGGCAAGAAATACTATCTCTATCATCAACCTGAAAGTAATTTGAGCAGCCAGCGTCAGAGGACTCACTGAATAGAGCCATGATAATGTACTTTTAGAGAAGAAGATAGAAGACTTACCTCTTGTAAACGCAACCCGCATCTGAAAGCCATCCCAGCCCCAAAGCCAAGTAAAAAGCACCTTAATGCTGGTAACCTTCATCTTTGTTCCAGTCACAAAGTGCAGATCAGATTTTAAGAAACCATCGCGGAACACTTGAGTGAACCCCTGGAGGGTTAATGGCACCTCTCCACGGCAGCCAGCTGCTAGGCCGTCCGGATGCAGAGGCTGCCGGACATGAAGGTCTGCTAGTGTTTGAAAGAGATCCTTGCGGAACACTTCCAGACAAAGGTGGATGAGGAGCTGGAGAAGCTGTGATGATTGTGGGAGGTCACTGCGGAGGTCCTTCATCCGGGAGAAAATGTCATGGAACTGTAGGAAGTCTGTTTTAGTGCGAACCACTGCCCAGTACTGAGAAACATATGTAGACTGGAGGCTTGGAGTGTTGAAGACAATATAAGCACGGTGCTGTGGATGAAAAGTCATTGAATCCCAGTCAATTTTTCCATCTTGGATCCAGGCATAGCCGGACTGCTCAAGTGTTAGGCTCATGCCCATCCCCTCTTGGATCGGTGCTATATCTGAGCCATCTGGTGGTCGCCCAACCCGCCGGTCCAGCCAAAGCCCATTACTCCGCCGCAGGTGGTTACCTTGCCCACCATACCCTTGGAGCAGACATTGCAGGAACATCATCATCACTCGAGTATGCTCCCAGTGGACAACCTGCCGTGGCTGCAGGCTGTATGTCATTTCAAACCCAACACACATTTTATTAATATTCCATTGCAGCCAACCCAGGAAGCAATCGCTCCGGAGGTGGAAGAAGGGTGGAGTGGTAGATGGGACCTGTAAGGGCTCCATAGCCCACCCATGTTCACGCATCTCCTGGTCTAGCGCAATGAGCAGCACACCTGTGACTCGATACTCCTCCCGAACACCATAGAACCGCTGGCGACCAGTGTTTAGGGCAACATGGCATCGCTGCTTCATATGGATATATGCTCGGAGAAGTGCGAGTGGGGAATGGCTGATGGCGGAACCGATATGCTGCCATGTCCGGAGTAGCCCTGGGTCTAGTGCTAGTGTGTCCAGGTTCTCATTCTGGAACGGGCCTCGCTTCCCAGCAACAAGTACATCTTTATATACATTATATAGCTGAGCATACCTGAGGCCCTGCTTCCACAGTGCAGACCGACGATATGGCTCCACAGTGAGGGAGACAGCGTCCTGAAGGAAGGAGACAGGGTAGAATTCTTGGCGCCAAGGAGGGCAGGAAGGAGATGTCAAATCAGAGTCAGACACAGAGGCCTCAGTCCCACTCTCAGTCCCCCTCTCACTTCCACTCTCACTTCCCTCATGATAACTGTTTTCAGAGCTCATGTCTGTTCCTGATTCATCTTTAACTAAAGGAGGGCGATAAGGGCCTAACGAATAACGATTGCCTTAATTCAGTGGACCGCAGCTGTCTGGGTGGCAAAGACTCTGCATTAGAAGTCAAGCGCAGTGGCCGCTCTCTAAGCTCTGGGGCTCCTGTGCAGCTAGTGGTCATTGCAGTGATTAAGCCACTGGCAAAATGAGGTCAGACAACAGCGTCACCAAAGGAAAGTTAGTTGGTCAGGAAAATCTGGATGTGATGGCGTAACAACCTCTTTAGCCACATTATAGAAATCCTACTGTAAATAGTTTGCATCTACAGCCTGGTTCCATCACTTGAAGAAGACATCCCACATTTCTGACCAGCTAGGGCGCTGAGTGATAAGTTTCAGGTTCTTAGCAGTTAGAAGCAGTTAAAGGCCCTGGAACTGATAGAGACCATTTTGCTCAACACACTGCAGCACCTCGCCCCAAAGGCTACTGAGATAGCCTGCCTGGAGGGGAAAGTGGAACTCCTGGAGTCATGATTACTCATGCTGGGTTAGATGCACTCCCCCAACTCAGGCTGCAGTTACATTAAGCTAGATGTGTGCCGCACTAGAGGGCAGGTGGTGAAGGATGGCTGCTGGATATACTTGCTAGATAGCAGGAAGAAGGACCTGGTCAGTCCAGAGAGCATATTCCTCTGCCGTTATAACCTGATGCCGGCGGGTAGGGCTAAATAAGCGAGGGAAGAGAAGATAGACCTCTATCTCTGGAAACCCAGTAAGCCGCCCAAATGGAAGGTGGGGAATCTGATGAACTAGCCGATGGCCCATACATAGTTTCCTAGTCTCAGGATCATCCCAATGGACGGAAAGTGGAGCCAGATGAAGGGAACTCTACAGGTTACTAGTGAGTGATCAGACAGCTTTCCAATGAAAACCATCTCAAGCCACAGCAATGCTTGAGGCAAAGCCCCCTGCACTATCAATATCAAATTAGGCAGGGATAGGTGCAGGGATTGGTGCTGGGTCCCGTCCAGGATCCACCATATAAGGCATAGGTGGTGGGTTTCCCACTTGCGGTTGATCTCCAGCTGCATCCGACGTTGCGACAGATATCCCACTAAAAACCTATCAACGCTGGGTGGAAGGGAAGAGGGTGTCCCATGATGTTGGGTATTGGGCTATGTCTGCTTGGGCCAGCACATCTAGGCACTCCCATGCCGCCATCTCACCCAGAGATACCACACTGTAGCAGCTATATCATGGGTACCCAGAGGGCAACCATGATGTTGATGAAGCTGCTCAGCTAATTTCTCCCCAAGCAGATCTGGTGGCAGAGAGCTAGGGAGAGCTTGGGTTCTTAGCACTATTGCAGGCACAAGTGGTACTGAGGATTCATATGGCCGGTCTGATTCTTCTGATTGACTTGAGCCATTCAAAAGTAGAGTTGGTGACCCTTCATATACTTAGTGACCATGTCCATACAGGAGCAAAAAATAACCCACTAACCATCAGATATTGCTTCCTCCCCTTGATGAGAAGAGGCAATGTTAGAATCCTCTAAGGTTGTTATTAAAACTCCATCCTCCCCTTGTTCCAGCTCCTCTCCGTTCTCCCCTCCTCCCTCCTCACCCCCCTCATCTCTGGGGCCTTGATTTAATCCATAGGAAGTAGTTTGTCGTGGAATAGGGATGGCCTCTAGAGTTTCTTGTAAATGGCCAAAAATATCACCCAAACTAGGAGAAAGAACAGAATCTGGTTGCTCTCATAAGTCCCAGGTAAGGAACAGAGGGCCCAATTAAGGTGATGGCGAGGCTTGCTGGCGAGAAGGTACCAGTATCTCTTGACATTCTGCCTGCTATCGCTCCCGGTATCACTGCACACGGGCCCTGGTTGCTTCCCAGTCATTAGCATAGATTCGTCGCCGTCCCCATGGCATTTTAGCAAGGACACAAGTAGTATAGTAGTTTACTCGTCTACAATGAGAAAATCGCCAGCATAATCAGTAACTATCATCTCAGCCATCAAATGACGATATATCTAATTAGACTTTTTGGTGGGCAGGGCAACCTGAAGGGCAACCTAAAAAAGTCTAATTAAAATAAAAACATAAACAAAAATATAAATAAAAACAAATTCTAGGTTAGTAACATAGAGGGATCTAAAGGATCCTGATCCTAGCTGGATTGGAATAAAAAGCAAACCCACACAAGTATTATTAGGAAACCTAGCCTATAAAGAAGTTACCAAACTACATTTCCATTCAAACATTCTGCTAATTCCTCACAATACCTTCTCAATATCAAACCAGAAACATATTCTTAACCTCCTTTCTCTATGTTAAATATGGTCACCACAAGGCAGGCATCAAAATTAGCACTAAAGAATGCCCCCGTCCATCCATCACCAGAGGGCAGATTAGAAACTGCTAGGTCTCCAAGCAGTTCTCCCCATCTCCCTACACCCCTTACTTCAGTGCCACAAGTGCTCAAGCCTCCACCCCTTACTTCAGTGCCACGAGTGCTCAAGAAAGGATCTGTTCCTAATGCAAATACAGGCAAGAGGAGGAACACTGGGGCATTAGGGGAAACTGAAACCCTGTAGGATGAGTGGTCGGCACCTATAGGTAACACACCAACAGCTATTCATGGTGAGTCTGTACAGAGATCATCACTCTAGAGCATAACCATATTTGTATAAGGGGACCCAATGATATGAATAGTGGCACCTGAACAAACCACATTAGTTTCCCCTCAGCAAATTGAAACTAAGACCACCCAAGAGCATGTCAATCCAATCAACAACGCAAGTAAGGAAGCAGGATTGGCAGATGAAAGGATATTTGAGAGAACAGAATCATCAAAGCAGCCAAGAAGGATGAACCTAGGTGTTAAGGCCACTGTTGAGCGGACAGAGGGCAACAGTCCTAGTTCATCTAGCAGAGCTGGACCACCTAGGTCTGCGGTTAGCGAGCATCAATCACCACCGGGAGTCCGTGAATGATCCTCCCCAGCACAGCCCCCCAGGTCGGACAATTTCCATGACCCCCAAGCAGCCAATTCTCAGGCATCGCCGTTCAAGCTCAGTGATATCTTCCGCCGCGCCATCAACAACTGCAGAACTGGTCTAGGTTACTGCACAAAATATGCTCCCTCCAAACCAGGCTCGCAGGAGCTACGCAGCTCCACAATGCGAATTTTCCTCACATCATCAGGAGTCAGAAGAGGACCAAATCCAAAAGTTGATGATCAAGCATGAGCAGGGAGCGTTTCAGCCTCGCCGCCGGAAACATCCATGGTCTGAAGAGGAGACCAATCAGCTAGTCGAGCTGTTTGGTAAATATGGGCCCTCCTGGGCCCTGATACTGCAAAAGGATAAAGAATTAGGGCAGATCTTTGCGCAATGTCAGACAAATGTCGATCTGAAAGATCAAGTACGGAATATTAAGACTAATCTGTTGAGGTAAACCTATGCCAGACTTTGTTACTGGACCACGCACCTACTAATCAACCTCCAGGAAGCAAGCACCGATTCCTCACCAGGGATTCAGTAATATCTATCTCGGAGACAAGGAGATCCGGTCTATCACCCGTGCTTGGCAGAGGCTGGAAATATAGGGCCTTGTTATGTTAGACTGTAAACAGGGTTACTCCAAGATATATATTCATTCAGTCTGTTCAGTTTGTACATTTTATCCAGTTCATCCATTGTTGCATTCATTTCATTTATTCTGTTCATTCCATTCATTTAGTTCGTCCAGTTCGTCCAGTTCGTCCAGTTCGTCCAGTTCGTCCAGTTCGTCCAGTTCGTCCCGTCCATTCCATTCATTCAGTTCATTCAGTTCATTCACTTTTGCGTTTCAGCTTCATCATGTATGAATGATCAATAGACTTTATTCAATCAGAGAATGGCTCCGCCTAATTGCGTTGTGTTGCTAAAGCGATTCTTTTCCTTAACAAGCAATACTTAATAGTTCTCCATATCTGGAGCCAGCTGGTAGATTATCTCCTTGAGCTTAGCCCAGCCGTGTTCAGTCAGGTTAAGATTGGGTGAATACAATTATAGAACTGTTAATGAAAGAAATATTCATTTGTATTCCAGGGGTCTGTATGCTTCATGCATAAAGCCTCTTTCAGACCTCAGAATACCACCATCAATCAAACCAGAAAGTTTTGAAACAAACAAAGACCAGTTACAGCCACACTCTATGATAATTTTAGCTACGTTTTGAATACACTACAAAGCCCATTCAGTAGACCTTGGTCTACTCTCTCATTCAATAGTGAATACACTCTTTTAGCCTTCTCTCTCCCAATGGAAAACCAAACATATCACTATGAAGGGTTATATAGGACTCAACATAACCCAGCCAGGATATTTCTATATCACAAAACCCGCAGATTTACATTACCTCCTTAACCAACCTCTATTGGCCTCAACCAATACAATGGCTCCTCGTATACTGCCTATTGAAATCCACCTTATGATACTAGACAACCTCATTTACACTCAGCAACCATTAACGCATGTGAATCTCTGCACTGTTCGGAATTATGCGCTCTCAAGCAGACGACACCACGCCATCATCAGGCGATATTTACGTTCACCACGACGCCGGAGATACTTCCATAACATGATGAACCCATTTGCGTTATGGGATACAAGTGCAGAAGCTAGACGACATGCACAAATGCCTTCTGGCCCTCCACAAATAGGGCCAGAACCTGACATACTTACTGGGGCCATCCGCAGTCATTGCAACCAGTGCTATCATCTCCTTCGCGATCAGATCAACTTCCCAGTTTTACGCTTCAATGATTTCGGATGGTCCTTCCTGGGGCTAGCCCTCACGGTCGGCTGCCATGAGATAGCACGGGATATTGCTCACCATATTAATGACCCCGGACATGTTACCGGCAGCGCAAATGTCAAACAAGTGGGCAGTCCAAGGATCATAACACTTGCCCTTCAAACAGGGGATAAAACAATCTTTGAACCTATTTACAACCAGATCCCTGCACAACTTGCACGTGAAACACTCTCACAACATGTTACGCCGCATGAGCGAGCTCAGCTCTGCCGGAATTCCACACCTGACCTTGCAGACCGACTCCTTCAAGACGGGTGTAATATTGCTGACGGAGTTGACAGTAATACACACGATACCTCATGGCACTATGGGATCGAAAATCCGTGTGGCATTCCATTCATGCAGTTCCTTAGGCGCAATCAGACAGGCCAGGTCAGCAAAAACCGGGCAAACGCCAATGGTGAAACGCCTCTCATGAAAGCCGTGCGCTCCAAGCGCCTGGATATGGTGAGATGGCTGACCGATATTAGCGTCGATGTTAAACACGAAGCATTCCGCGGGACTACTGCGCGCACCTGGCTGCAGAGCTTCAAAGCGATGAGAGTACTGAGATGTTGGAGATACTACTCCCTCATGCTGATCCCAACTCCGGCCATCAGAAAGCACAGGGACCATACTCCATGCCTTGGTAGATGGGGCGCGAAGTGCAGAAGTGCAACTATCAAATGACAGGACTCTTGGATACGGTGAGCGCCGGAAGATCCGTCGTCAGTATCGCAACCGTGTTTACAAGAAGTACAGGGAGATCAGTGGACATGAACCTGACCGGACTCTGACTTATGCAGCAGGTCTCACAGCAGCACAGTATGCATCGAGGTTCGGCCTAAGGGAGCTGGCAACCTACATTAACAGGGAGCCATACAATCTACGCCCCCGCTAGCTATGGTGAGTATTTCGACACTTGTTTGCTGGAGCCTTTGATGAGGAACACTAATCCCTTAACATCCCTTGAACTGAATGCTGCACGTGATGTCATGAAGGTAGCCCTGTCAACCAGTCCTCTTTATGATGCATCATTTTCTCTTGTAAATCTCATTCATTGCCTAGGACGCTGAGCCCATCACAGCAAGGATCTCGCGTTGCCGGGACTCGGCCTGCGGATATCATACTCTTTCCGGGCTTCGAGAACAGTGCAGTCTATGGCAAAGCCGGGATACACGCGCTCTGTGGCCGTAGAGAAGAGCCTTTGATACCGCTTAAATATCCTAACATGCCGTTGGACCCATTGATCGTAATCAAAGATTTTTCGGTAATAGAAAAGCACCTGCCGTCGGCGATGACCAAGCTCTCAGGATCTAAGTCCTCCTCAAGCTCCGCTGCACTGACCGCTGTGCTGATGGGCAGGGCTGTCGCAATCAGTTGCACGGCTTCTTTATTTATGGGCGTCCGCAGTGACTGGGACTCCAGCCGGAGCTGAAGTGAGATGTCATGGCTGAATGCCGGCAGGTGTTGGAGTAAGTTTAACCACTTGGGCGGGAGAGAATCACCGCCAGGCCGCAGCTGGAGCTGCTGGGTAAGGAGAGAGATGACTAGAGATAAATAGATGAATGAGATAAAGTAGATGAATCACATCAAATAGTTGAACAAGGTGGGCTAATTAAGTATGTTTAAATAAATTGAGCGAGGCGAATAAATTAAACAAGTTAGACAAGTTGAATCAGTTGGACAAGCTGAATGCGTTGAATAAGTTGAGTAAGTTGAGTCAATTCGTCCAGTTCGTCTAGTTAGTTCAGTTCTTTCCATTCGTCCAGTTGGTTCAGTTCGTTCCATTTGTTCAGTTTGTTTGGTATGTTATAGTGAGTTTAGTTTATTTTGTTCATCTTGTTTCTTTAGTTTGTTCGGTTCGTTCAGTTCGTTCAGCTTCTACCTGTGCTACATGTGACCTCTGTTTTGTACTATATATGCTGTTTGTGCCGTCTGGTGCGTAGTAGATAATCGTGCTTGTGAAAGATTACCGTCAATCTAATAACTGAGCAAAAGTAAACAAACTTATTCAACAGTTTAATCTGATTCATCTACTTTATCCTGTTCATCTCTCTATCTCTCTCATCCCTCCCATCTTCCTCAAACTCGCTATTCCGAACAATCCGGCTCTCAAAGAAGTTCATTTTACGCACGACCTCCATGGCGCCAGTACCTAGACTAACGGTCTTACCCATAATGATGCATTCGGAGACACCTTCGATAAGATCGGTACGACCAGCACCGCCAGCGTCAAAGAGATGGTCCGCAGTCTTTTCGAAGGAAGCGAGCTGTAGAACGGAGTCACGCATTTTCGCAAGACCGAATCGGGTGATACCTAGGACCTCGCCCTTGTACGTCATAACATCAGCAAGAAGTTGCATATGACGAGGGTCAATGCCCATGTCCTTCATGACCTCGCTGATTTCTTGGACGATTGTGACTCGGGCCGCTTCGATATTAAGAACGTCACGCATCTCCATGACGTTGTTGGTAGAAGTGCGGAGACCATTGACACCGAGCGTGGTCATGCACTCCTTGAGCCCATAGCCTTCGACAAGGAGTGTATTGGTGCTGGAGGTATCGTCGTTCCGGATGATGGCGCGGCTTGCTTGCGGGTGACCAAGCACCTGTATATCCGGAAGCATACGCTTGAGATGCTTCAGGCGGAGAAAAGGATCAGCACTGGTTACTGCAATTTCGGTATTGGACAGATACGCTTTGCTGGCAGGGTCAATATCCATGTAGATATGGATATGAGAATTGGTGCTTCGGAATTTCAGATCATCGGCCTTGAAACGCCTGTGGATCTTAATGGCTTCGACGATGTTCCTGATCTTAAGCTCAAGCGCCAGGTTTTGAATGGTCTCCCAGTTAATCTAATCTTGACAGTAAGGTAGGCCTCCTTGCTAGTCCAGGCTTCTCAGAATAGTGGATAATATCAATACCTCTGTTGACAATACATGCCGCGATGACATTATCGTTGGTGACAGGGTCACAGGAAATGACAGGGGTACTGATCTTCGCGATCTAATTTCGCACGCTCTTCGAATAGCACCTCTTCTTCATAAATTCGTGTGGAAGCAGACTCCGTTCGTCATTATTCGTCCCAAAAGCTGGGAGATGCGTATGCGGATTGGGATTGTGGAAGAGGAGAAAGGCGCTGTCGCTTAGACGTTGGAGGGATACCGCCTCCATTGACCGGGGACCGATAGTTAGCAGAGCAGAGTCAAACACGACCCTCATATGTGAATGCCGAGACGCAAAATGGGGCCGCAATACCCAGAGAGGCAATCCCTCACGCATCAACGCGGCCATTTAGGGCCTGGAATTCCATGAAGAGCTCATCCGTAGTGATACTCCGCGCCTTAAGTGTGCCGCCATACTCAGATGCCGCCTTCAGTTGCCGGCGATTGCCTTGCCGTGTGAAGATTCGCTGTTCGTATTGCATATTTGGCACGACGAAGCGGATGCAGGTCGTCTTGTGGTTGTCCTGGCCCAATCGGCGAATTCGTGCAAACGCCTGGTCTTCGACACCTTCCAGATAGTCGGGCTCGAAGAGGACGGCCCGGAAGGCACGAGTACAGGTATACCCAGTCCCGATGACCCCGGTGGTGGACACAAGGATGCCCGGACTTCGAATATCCGGGTTATCCTCATCGGCTTTGGCTCCGGTGTCGAAATTCTGGAAGGCATCCACCCAGCTCTGGCGATCCTTGTCGGTCGCCCATAAGGCCTTCACGTGATGATCAGGAAACGCATCTGCCAAGGCCTAGCGGTGCCAGACACGGGTAGATCAGTACCAACGATTGATTGCACTAATAACAGATCAGGAAACGAAGCAGGGACTTACCAGGCTTAAGATATATACCGTCACAGGATGCTTGGTCATAACCAAGAACTTCTCCGGTCGGCCCTTCCAGTCAGTGCGGCCCTCGTTAATCATATCACACAGATATTGAAACTTGGACGACCCTTTCGTAACCATGTCTAGGTTCTTCGCGATTTCGCACTCCCCCGGGGTCTCAAGCCATCTGCCAAGATCGGCCCCAGAGTATGGTAGTTTGTCGAGACCACCTACCTGGGGAGCAAGATCCACAAGTCCTGGGAAGCTGGTGAGGATTCGGAGCTGTGTGAACTTCCGTTTGCCTGCCCCAGTGAGTTCGCCTTTGTACTTCCTGCCCGCCTCCCGAGCCTGTTGTGCGGCGGCTCGGATCCTATCCAGTTCACTGGAAACCGCGGAATCCATCGGTCTGATCTCATCAAGGTATCGATCTGGGACGGGGCATTTCACATCGATTCTTTCGTCCGGAGGCAGTGTGATAATCGGGTGACCAAACCATCTGGACTCAACAGTTCGCCGAATAAACCCCAGTGCGGTTAGGATCAGTTTGAATTCTTTGATGAGGGGCCCTAGCTGAGCATCAGCCTTGTTTGCCTGCCTGGAGAATTGCCGCCCGAGTTGCTTAATCCGTTCAGAGGTACAGTATCGCAGCGTCAGGTGCTCCGCCCACTGAGGTCTCTCCAGTAAACCGATGTAGGAGGCTATGTCGTTGGGCGACGTCTCAAACGGCGTGCCACTTAACAGCCATATAGCCGGCATAGCCGGCCTGCACAAACGCCGAAGGACAGTAACAGTTCTTCCTTCACCCTTCTCCTCATGGCACTCATCCCGGATTGTCCGCGCGAATCGCGCGCCGAGCACACTGACTTTCCCCGGCTTGGAGCGTGAACCCAAGCCAGTTGCAGGGAGGGGGGTCCATCCCTCCACGGTCAAGGCGTCCAGCACTTGTGTTTCAACACTTCCGGGAGTCGAGAGGATCACAAACCGGCCTGCACTTTTGGGAATGGTACCCTTGTCGCGCTGGGAAGCAATAACATCCGCTCGATTTTCCTCCGTATGTAGACTCTTGTCCAAACTCTCCATGCACGCACGTGCACGAACCCACTGATTGACCTCAGCGATCATGAGCTTCTTCTTGTCCGGAAAACCCTTGACGGGGTCGATGCCCTTGATCGAAGTACCGTGCCCGAGCAGCAGCGTCATACGCAGCAAAGGGTGCGGTTCGACTGTGTCATTCCACTCCTTCACCCACACTGGAATGAGGCGCTTAGGGACGACAACCAAATTCAAGCCATCGCGGATTGACATGTATTGGGCAGTAGGGCCCGCCCGCACGCATGGGCAGCATATGGGGAAATCTGCAGCGCTTGGGCACTCATCATTGGGCCCTTGATTGTCAAGTAAGAGATGTTTACCGTCAGCAGCAGCCCGTGAGTTCTCCACAGCCTGCGTGGCTACATGCACCCAGCGGCTAACCACACAAAGTGCAATGGTGGTCCGGGTCTACATCAGATAAGAAAGCCCGGGTTAGTATTCATGTTGTATGTCGATTATGCCTGGATGGTGGTGGGACTGCTTACCTTGCCTAAGCCCATGTCGTCTGCGAGATATCCTCCATTCAGGGGTTTCTCGGTAGTCAGCATCCAGTATACCGCGAAGGCCTGGTGAGGGTTTAGTGGACGACGCAGGCCAAGTATGCGGATTTTATCTTCAGGGTCTTCCCCGAAGGTGTCTTCAAGCTTATAGAACTTCTGGCAGTCCGCCCAGGTCTTTTTATCAAGCCGGTCGAGAGTAAACGAGATCTGGAAGCGGTGTAATCTGGTCATCATATCATCAGTCTGTGACTAACCGCTCCGGTGATATAAGATGCACAATGTAGTATGAGACTACTTACTCATCAGTTGACTCCTCCTGTATTGGGGCTGCAATTCCAGCGACATCATCATCATCCAAACCGTCATCATTAGCGGGCTCCGTCACCCCTGCGTTGACTCGGGGCGGATTCGGGCTGGTTGTGAGTTAGTTAGAGTCTCAATCTGCCACGTAAGACACGATGTCTCTGGGCAGAGGGGAAACCAGCGTTGATGACTCACGAGTCCCGGCGGCCAGCGCCGATGTCTGTTCCATTATCTTGACCGCCACCATTATCATTGGAATCATCAATAACCACAACCTCTTTTGGTTGCTCAACGGTCTCATTGGGTTTGCCATTGGAACCAGGACTTGCGGACCTTCCAATCTGTCAGTTAGCGCCAAATTACCTAACACATTCCTTAGTAGAGTTAATCACTCACCTGTCTGGCTCTCTATCCTGTTTCTTTTCCGTTTCCTTTTCAGGTGTCTTTTCTTGTTCGGGCTCCTCGTCTTCCTCCTCGTCTTCCTCCTCGTCTTCCTCCTCGTCTCCCTCCTTGTCTCCCTCCTCGTCTCCATCATCGTCTTCCGCGGGGGGGTCTCTGGAAAAGCCATACACTATTAGCAAGAGATTCATCGATTGTTTGGTCTACGGAGATTACCTGCGCCCAGCACGTTTGATCCTGGCACGTTTCCGTCCCGGAATATCATCGTCAGCGTTACTGTATCACAATTAGCTCTGCTTTGGGCTTTGATTGTAGGGCCTGAATACCTCTCTGTGGCACGCTGCCGCTTCCGAGGCGGCGAGCCTATAGGTGGGAGCATCCAATCCGGTGGGCTTTGAAAACGGTTGGCCGTGGGACCATCTGCTTTCAACATTAGTCCGTGTATTTCTGATAAGATTGATGATGTCAGGGAAAGCGCTGGGGGTTGATTGACACCCACCAACACTGGGTTTGATGTTGAATATTATGGGACCAGGCACCATGTTCGCTAGAGCTCCGATCCAAGTCGGTTCATCGGTTACAGTGACTTCGAGTTGAGAGCCACCGACCGTGACCTCGCATGAGATACTGTGAGTGTCCTGTGTCCAACCGCAACCCCTTCCGATGACAGTCGTAAATATGTCCCATTTAAGCTCTGTCTGGTCTATGTATGTTCTGGATCGTAAGGCGTCCGGTGTGGCGAACTGACTGAGCACAAAGGCTTGTACCTTCGATTCCCCGTCCTTGATGAACTTGATAAGGACGGGACGGTCACTAAAATGGGTGAGCATCTGTGGTTGAGTTGCTTGCGAAGGTGTCGGCGACACTGCTGGCTCCGATGAACGCTGTGGAACCTGGGGAGTTCGACCACTGGCTGGGGCGGGTGTTCTCCGTTTTTTTTTCATGGCTGTCTTGATACCAATAGCAAGAGCGTAGAGTTTCAGAACTGTATCTGAATAATCATCCTCATACTTGGCCTTGATGCATTGTGGCATGCGGTCGATACAATTGTCAATGTCCTCTTGAATTTCCTGAGCTATAGCCGCGGTTATCTTCCGATCAGTGTAGAGCGGCCTTGATTGAAGGATTTCCCTTAACAGGTCTTCAATTCTCGCCCGATCTTCCGCCTTCGCCGCGAAAAAGGTCCAGATCTCTGATGTCTTCATTGTCTTTCTTGTGTCGAATTTGCGTACTGTACTGTATTTGGTCTCGCTGTTCCGAAGCAGTTCCTAACCGAGGAAATAGTTTGTTAGAATCCGAATCTATCGAGGCTTTATAGAGCACATTTCGAAGGAACTCATGCAGTGGACAGTCCGAAACAAAGACAACGACTAACCTGGGATTAATGGTGGCGGTAACCGGCCCAAAACATGAAATGCTTTGTTTCCAGCCACCCAGGCAGTCTTTAACCTCACAACTGCTGGTATTATTAGCCATTCTTTGTACCTCTGTACCAATCAGGCATAACATGCCGACTTGAAGGACGGGGCGCCTGTTTCAAAAACAGACGTTTTATAAAGAGAGCTGGAAACTAACCAGTACCCGTGTGCCTCTAAACAGGGATCCTTAATCCTTGGCCTGTCAATCCTGACAGTAAAGGGTGCTTTGTAATTATGAACTGTTGATATCGTCAGTCTTTGTTCCGAACTGAACAGAAGCTGGCGTTGCGTAGGTGTTGGGGATGCGAAGGCAGCAAAGAAACAGTTGACCCAACCGTGTCACTAATGGATAATAGAGGAGTAGACAACCCAGTTGTGATCAGTAGTTAGGTAGATCAGTGTAGGATACTCAAAATCACAAAGTAGGAGTAGAATGAGTCCGCATGCCTATGAATGTCGAGCAGTATGGGTTGGGAGAGTTGAGGAAATATCAGCGGTATGGGAAGTTCTCCTAAATGAGTCAGTTGCTGGAAGTAGACGTGACAGTCTTGTTATGTTTGTTTGTCACAGCAGACAGGGTAGACGAAAAAAACAAAAAATAAAAGAAAAGGGAAAAGAAAAAGGAAATGGTGGTGGGAGCTATTCACTGCCACCAGCAAACGACCCTCAACCATACTAGTAAGAGACCGAACAACTAAACCTGCATCAACTGGACCAACTCAAGCAACTGGATCAACTTGACCACTGTACCAACCAATGAAGAAAATCTTTGTCTGGCATATTTCAACTGCCGGATAAATCCAGGCCGTCTTGCTTTGTTGGACAGGTAACTTTGCTAGGCAAAGAGGGTGGCGCTGAGAGAAGACAAAGGAAATGCGGTGGCGCACGTCGATGCTGTTGAACGCCATCATCTGCCCCTCAAAGCCCGAATATGACAATACAAAGAAGGTGATTTCGATTCGGAAATGGGACAGGGTGTAGGAAAAGGTGAAAAAAGAAAAAAAGAAAGAAGCAGCAAAGAAACAATCTAACTCACCTAGTGAATCGAACCTGAATTCATAGCTATGTTCGTCTCACTCTGGTCGGTGAGCTCTAGCAAGAATATGAGTTGGATGGATCGTCATACCAGCCATAACAGCAGGAATGATAACCAACCAAGGCCATAGCTGCCATGAGGGTTGCTTCGGTGTCAGGTACTGTGGACGTAAGCAAGGCCACACTGAATGTCCGGTGAAACCCTTGTATAGGGGCGAACTTACCTGAGTTTTGAATACTGCTGGCCTGATCTTGACGAGAGCACTAACCAGCAATGTTAGGTATCTACTAAAAGTGACCGACTGCAACAAGGCATCATAGTTTGGATACAGAGAAAGGCACCAAAATCAGCAAGATAAGTCAATCTGTTTCCTCGCAGGGCAAAGGGACGCAGAGGCTATCGCCAGCAGTTGTCCCTAGACAAGGCGGATAGCTGAGACTACTCACGGAGCAGAGATATGCCCCTAGGAAACCGGTTAGGTACATGCAATGGAACGACATAGTAAAGCAAGTGAGTCATCTTGCAACCAAAGGCTACCAGTTGCCGCTTGCGCCAGACTGGGCCGTGCCATCCACATCCATGGCATTCTCGCCCCATGTCCCACTCACCTGCGCACCATTCTGTTCTTCAACGGCGGCGTCAGGCAGAGTGGTCGTAAGATTGTCGGGGACTGGCACCCGATGCCTGTGCTGAGAGATATACTTAAGAAGCCTTCGCACGAATGGACTAGGCTTCTGTTTTTCTCCCGGTCGATCCATAGCTTTGTAGTTGCCGATGATGTAGAGTGCATGTTTCGCCCGACTAAGAGCGACGTTTAGGCGATTGCCCTCCCGCATAAAACCCAGGGAGGAAACAATGGTGAGGTCGAGTATGACAACATTCGATTCCCTACCCTGGAAGGAGTCGATCGTCTTGAGCTGTACGAGATGTAGTTGCAGGCCGGGCTGCTGTTGTTGCAGAATGGCAAAGAGTGCCTGGTATTCCTTGAGCTGGGCTCGGTATGGAGTGAGAACTGTGATTCCAGTCGGGCCAGCAACTTGTTGGGAAAGCAGGCGAATCACAAGCGCAGCAGCGACACTGCGATGTGCCGCATTTAGACGAGAACGTTGCTGGGCGTCGCGGTGGTCCATGCTGTCCTTCACGTCGAGGAATAGCATTTGGGCCGAGTGGCGAAACGTGCGACGATTGAACAGGTTGATCTGGCGGGCTAGCTCACGGGTCTGATCGGCAGTGGCGCGACTTGTCTGCAGCTCGCCATTGTAGAAGATCGAACTGACCATCTGTGCCATGCTCTCGTGCATTCGGTGCTGCTCTTTGAGCATGACGGCATGCAGACCATCCCGGTGGAGCCGAGAGAATAGTGACATCTGGAGCTGGTCCGCAAGAGGGTTCTGCTTGTGGGATGAGAGCACAAGAGGACGAAGCTGATGGTGATCGCCAATGAGGACAAATGCATTGGGGTTGAAGAAGGCCAATGCAGGCCACAGCTCAGGCTCGCTGGCACGAGCAGCCTCGTCGACCAAGATGGCTTGGGGCTGCACATTATCACGTATGGCCGTCTCACCAGCCGTATGTAAAGTGCATAATATGACATCCGCACGGGCAAGGACCGTGTCACGTAGCTCCCTGCTCCGGGCACGGAAGTCCATCCAGGTTGTATCGTCGAATTCCTCTCCCGCCTGGTAGAGTCGATAGTGCTCTCGGAAGGAGATGAATGCGTCAGGGGTCGACCATGAGGTTTTAATGATGCCGCAAAGTTGCAGCATCCGATAACCAATGCTCAGCTCGACGTGCTTCACCCGACGGTCACTGACGCCCAGTGGCTGCGCAGTTTGGGCTTGGTGGAAGTCGAATAACATCTGCGCCAGGGCAACCTGCGCAAGGAGGCTGTCATCATGAGTCGAGTGATCATCCGCGATGATGGGTGGTCGGGCATTGGCCGGCGGGGGACGCTGCTTCTTCGCCGGCATCAATAGAAGATCCTCCTCAGTGCTGAGTGCATGGCAACGGACAACGATGGCGAGATCATTGACCACGTCGTTGGGTGGTGCTAAGAGCATGACTTGATACCGTCTGCCGGTATGACGATTATTGGATGCAAGGAAAAGGAGAAAGACTCGAACCGCCCAGTAGGTTTTTCCGGTGCCAGGGGCCCTTGTATGATACCAAACCCACCGGGTAGGGTGCGGAGACGTGCGAATGCATCCTGCTGCGCCTGATTGAACTGAAATTGATGGACGAGAGCGGAGAAGTCATCCGCGATGGTCTGATAGGCATCAACCGCTTGCAAATGCATGAAGTTGTTGCCTAGTAGAGTCAACCAAGTCGACACCTTCTCCGTGCGCTTGTTTTGCAGCTCTCGTAGGGCAGTGATCTGCCGGTGGAATGGTTTCTCGGAGAACAAGACATTCACCGCCACTTGCTGCGAGTCTCTCGCCAGGAGCCGAGACCTGGCGTTCTGCATAAAACCCAGAGCCTCGATCAAAATTACCGAGGGTTCTAGGTCGTCGTCGAAGCGCACCCATTCCCGGTTCTCCTTGTCCCAGGGTCGAGTCAGGAGGATTGTGACGGCCTTTGGAGGGGCAATCGGCAGAGAGTCCACTACACACGCATGCCAGTCGGTATGCGATTCCGGCTCTTCAACGTTGAAGTTCACCTTCATCGCGTCACCAGGCTGTAGGTCGAGGCAGAACTCATCAGGGAGCTCAAGGAATCCAATATACCGACGTGAATCCGCCCCTGGTATCTCAATAACCTTAAGGGTTGCGATTGAGTCTGCAAGGGACTGCATCTGCCTCGCCACGTGCTCGTGCTCGTGCTCGTAGATCAGCCCGAAGCCAAGGAGAGTCACGTACTCTTCCCAGTTGAGAAAGCTCGGCTTCGTTGATCGGGTTACAACTGGACGATTCTCTTGGTTCGGGTAGTCCCCAATCTGGAGAAAGACTTTGCTCGGGTGTCCTGGATACCAAGCGCGGAGTGGATTGTTGTTGGCGTCCTCAGATAGCCGTGTGTTGAGCTGAAGGAGTATCCTGTTTACTTCATACCCCCGGACAAAAAACCTCAGTTGCTGATTCCCCAGGTGCTCGCGGATTTGAGCAATCAGAGCGTCCTGGTCACCAAAGGAACGGTGGCAAAAGAGGTTCGCAGCATGCAGATGCACGTCGGGGTGCTTGGAAACCGTGATACCCCAGATGGAATTGTCATTAATGGCTTCCTGCAGGTGGTTGTGCTGCGCATAGAGCGATGGGTGTGCGACAATGGCACCCGCAGGAGCATTCTCTTGACCTTGGGCGACAACAGGCTGAGCTCGAATGGATGCGACATGGAAGGCAGTCAGAAACACATGGCCTGTCGTTAGCACGCTGTCTTCCTGGGAGGGCACCCGGAAACGGATGGCAAAACGGAGCTCGAGGTAGGAGTGACAACCTGCTTGAACCAGTGGTGCAAGTCGGAGCTTGACACCCGGTTCCTCTCCTTGCCAACTGCACAGGAACTGGGGTCCATCTTCGGTATCACGTGCTATTATGGCTGGATAGCTGACGCTTCCAGCGCTCGAGCCTGGTACTATCGTCTCATCCCACATGGGGATGTCAGTATCGTCATTGGCTTCCAGTCGGTCCATGATTGCACTGTACAAGCGGGAATGCCTTGGTCAGCTTCAGCAACGCAGAATATGTCAGGAAATGGACTTTTGACTCATGAGATCGCAATCAGTGCAATCCACAGTAGATGAGACTTACCACAGCTTAGGATAGACGAGAAAAGATGTGAGGGGTGGGAAGGAGATGCGATGAGAGATGAATGAGAGATCTGATGAGAGATGAACGAGGGATCTGATGAGAGATGAACGAGAGATCTGATGAGAGGTCAGACCAGAGATGGGGTGAGAGAAAAGCGATAGAATGGGAACACAGAAGAGGGATGGGTGGGAGAAGAGTTGGGAAGTCAGTTCCGCGCGTATGTTAAGGAAATCTTGACGAAGCGAAGTTTTTGAATGATTTCTGAGATAAATGTGTGATTGTGTTCTTCCCACGCAGCCGGCAGGAAATCAAGGTAGCATAGAGGTAGGTAGGCAACATGAGCACTTCCTAGCATATATCTACCCTCTTGAGGCCTATATTCTGTATATCTTGATGAACATGGTCAGAGTAGGAGGCAAGGCACAGCTTGGGGCAAGAAGTCTTCCCATTTGACACCTACATGGTCGGCTCGCATGCATATCGGCCTGATACACCACCAGGGATTCACAATTGCGTTCAACGTCAGCTTACTGCGACCCGTAGCTAACGATTCATTCCCGAGCCAAATAAACAGGATTACCAACCCCCTGCGGTGCTAGTGGACGGCTAGGTGAAATATTAGGATGAGGAGATACTGGATGAGCGCCAGAAACGGGTCGGAAGGGGTCATGGTGGCAAACAAATAAGCTGCCTGTTCAGCTTACTGCGACCCGTCGCTACTGATTCATTCCCGAGTCAAACAAACAGGATTACCGCCCCCTGCGGTGCTAGTGGACGGCAAGGAGACATATGAGGTTGAGGAGATACTGGATGAGCGCCAGAAATGGGTCGGAAGGGGTCATGGTGGCAAACAAATAAGCTGCCTGTTCATGCAGGTAGCCAGCAGCCCCAGCTACGTCTTGGAATGATACGCATTAGTCTGGTTTAGATATACAACCCTGTGGATAGCTTGCTTAAATACAGTTCTACCAATTTACTAGGTAGTAAACCCTCATATGTGATCACATTGTCCAGTTTGTTCAGTTTGACAAGTTAAAACCAGTTGAACTAGTGGAACGAGTGGAACGAAGTTGATCGAGTCGAACGAATTGAACAAGTCGAACAAGTCGAACAAGTTGAACAAGTCGAACGAATTGAACAAGTCGAACAAGTCGAACAAGTCGAACAAGTCGAACAAGTTGATCAAGTCGAACGAATTGAACAAGTCGAACGAATTGAACAAGTTGATCGAGCTCGTTGAACAAGTTGAACAAGTTGAACAAGTTGATCAAGTTGAACAAGTTGAACAAGTTGATCAAGTCGAACGAATTGAACAAGTTGATCGAGCTCGTTGAACAAGTTGAAGAAGTTGAATGAGTTGATTGAGTTAAACAAGCTGAATAAACTGAATGAGTTGGACAAGTTGATCAAGTTGAACAAGTTGAAGGAGTTGATTCGAGTCGAACGAGTTAACCGAATCGAACAAGCTGGACGAGTTGAACAAGTCGAATGGGTCAAACAAGTTGAACAAGTTGAAGCAGTTGAATGATGAATAAGTTAAACAAGTCAAATAAATTGAATGAGTTGAACAAGTTGATGGAGTTGATCAAGTGGAACAAGTTGATTGAGTATTCGATGACACGGTTAGCGGGGCGCCAGAAACGGCCCTCATTGAACCGTCCGTCTGCCGCTTTCCACCGCCTGCCCCATGCCGAAGTCCCACTGCCCCTTGCGGCCTAGCTTGTCCGCTTTGGGGATCGCGCCCGTGTTCTCGCCGCTTTTGCGCCCATCGCCTGCCGCCTCATGCCTCCCGCTCGATCTATATAACCCCGTCTACCCTCCCTCGAAAGGCGACGCACTTTCTCTTCCTCTTTCTCCTGCTGCCTGCCTCGCTCCCGGTGCACTGCCCCCTTCCCAGGATGCCGCGTTATCCGAACACTGCCCCTTTCCGGTATGGCGCCGTCCGCATCTCCTCTTTTCTCGCCCCATTCAGCGTCGGAGTCGCCGACAGCTCGACCTATTGGTAACTATTGCTCTGTTGGTGTCTCAGCTATCCACGTCTCCCTTGTCCATGTGCACCCTATCGCGTGTGGCCAGCGTCGGGCCGGCTGGGCCCGTGAGATCGAGGCGAATTGCGCCTTGTGTTATATGGCCAGTGAATGTGGATGCTTCGTTTTTCCTGCTTGATCTCTTCCTGATTGTAGTGAGAAGCACTATTTCTGCGTCTTCTCCATCTACAGGAACTTGAGATGCCAGGTGAGGCAGCAGGGATCTTCTGGCGGCTGGAAAAATAACTCTCTTCGACCCCTCACCGCGGGTCTGTGGGCGCAGCTGACCAGCGTCGCATCCTATGTCATCCATGTCCGATCCTTGGCCCACTATCCTCTGTACCCGCCGAGCGTACACTCTCACCTCGACTGCTGGCCAATGGCAAAAATGCCGCACGTGTCTTTGGCATGCTTTCTATCTCCGAGAGGTTTGGAATGCGAGGCTTGGGGGCAGCAGGCCGACGTGGTTGGCGGAGAACGCTCCATCCCAATTTCCGGGCGGACCATGTAACTAAAGGCCGATACGTCGGCTGCTTCAGGGGTAGCTGAGAAGGGGACGAATTCTGCTTCGGTGGCTCTTTCCCTTCGATGTGTACGGTAGGAGTGACAAGACAATTCACCGAGGAACGAAAGTATAAGAAGGATTGATCGACTCCCGAGGATGTCAGTACAAGGGCTTGCTTTCAACACCTACACATTTCCTTTTACTCCAGCCTCATTTCGTCTCTGGCCTAATCCTCGCGCAGTCACATTCCACCAGCATATCCCAGTCTCCCCTTACCTCAATATGTTGCCTGTATTTCACGCTGATAACTTCAAGGCATGGACTCCACCTTTCCGCACGAGACCCCCCTCCAAACACTCACGCCTACACCCTCCTTCCAATGAGTCCCCTGCCATCAAACTTCATCATTCACCCCTCCCCAAAGCATTGCCATTGCCCAAGCATCAGCTCCCGGTGCGGCCTCCAGCCGAGGTTTGCGTTCATGCAAGTGCCGTGACCCCATCTGGCACCTTCAGGGGCCCTCAGTCTCCGCCCCAGAAGCCATCTAGGCTGCACTCTGCCAAAACGACACCCGCCACATCATCCGACACGCAGCACGCAGAGCGGCTGGAACAGTCTCCGAGAAACAGAGCTAGTCCATCATCAAATCCGGATTTAGCCACGTCACGCAAAGTTCACGATGCCATTGATGCCTCAATTGATGCGCCCTTTTCCCCAGAGGATGCCCTGAGATACATATCGTCACCCAGTGTATCCAGCTCGGACGAGAGCTGGCAAGAGTTTCTGCAACCGGCAGACGAACAAAATGGCATTCCGATCGACCCGGTGATCCTCACAAACAATGGGCCCTGGGAGACAGATGATGAACGCCAGCATATTCACGCGGACGGCGATAGCGCCGTCTCGGAGACCATTTGTCGATATCCCAACCCTCCACCACTTCTCCGCGACACGCTTGCTGAGAATAGGAACTCCAGCACATGTCCTGAATCGCAGGAAGGAAACCCTCGGTCAGATAGCCCGCTAAACAACCAATCACACGCACAAGTATTTGCCGATAACAACCCCGAAGCTCACATTCGTGTGTCCAGCAACCGCCTCGAAACCCTAACCAGCGGCCAACAGTCGAAACCCCGCAAGCGAAAGTTGCAGCAGTCGCATGGACAACCACAACTGTGCAAACGGGCCAGAGGTTCTTCTGCAACCGTCTCGAAGGAGAATTCTTTTTCATCGCTTCGTTCTCACTTCACATCTGTATCGGTTGATGAACGCCTACAATTTCTTTCGTGGCTGTTCGAAGGCGCACTACCACGCTGTGTATCTGAATCCGATCCAAAAGAACCTGACCGCGTAGCACGGCCAGCACTTCGCTTGTTGGATCAGCCAGCTGATTCCACGGAGCTTTATGGAACCTCCCGGAAAGGCATGCCGTGGTCATCTGAAGAGGCGAACCTCCTATTGAGGTTGAGAAGGGACGAGAAACGAACTTGGTCGGATGTGACAAGGATTTTTTCGGAGCAATTTCCAGGCCGGAGCCAGGGCTCCATTCAAGTATTTTGGAGTTCGGCCCTCAAGAATAGAGCACATTAAAGTCGATATTCTTTCCCTCCCTTGACCCTTTTTTTTCTGTTTCCGAGCCTACATAGTGCGATATTTAGGTGTAAAATAATAGAGTCGTGGATGGGGCGTGGCGGTATTCCAACACAGACATCAGCATCACACAGCTCACTATACTCGTACGCTTTCTTCATGAGGCTCATCTTCCGCCGATTCCTTTTTTGCTGGGCAGATTTTCTGGGTGATAGTGTGGCCCGACATGGTCGCACAGTATTGGAGGGGTCTGTAGGCATGATAGGTAAAGTTCAGGAGGACATCAGAGGAAGCCGTTCCCCACTGCTGGGAGTCATGGTAGCCTTTAAGATGGCTTCACTTTTTAAGGTTGTGGGACGCTGAGAAATTGCTGACGTTATTGTCAGCTCCTTATGTGCAGCAACAGGAGTTGTAGGATTTGGAGGCCTACCAGGAGCGCGAACATCTTGATAGTTGCACGTCGTTGAACGACAGACAGCCTTGCATCGCATCATCGAATGGAGCAAGGAAATGTAGTGGCCAAACCGCTGGACTTGCTCATCTTGTAGGGCCCTGAAGACGAAGCGATGGGCGGGTGATCGTTGATCATTGAGGCACTTAAGAGCGTATATTGACAGATATGGTGGGTGAAAAAGGTCGAACACTCATGACTTTATCGTCTTTGACAGAAATATGACTCCCCCATGTATTATGTTCAGAGAGAGAGGCACCCCGCAGGCAACCACACTTGAGCTGCACTTCGGTGTAGTCACGTGGCAAATTTTACGGGGTGACTACATCAGACGAGAGCGTTCCAAGCTATGGCATAGCTCTCAGATTATTAGTTGTAAATGGCCTGGATAAACAGCAATAGGAAGACGGTCATTACTGTCGCTTGTGAAGTACTGGAATGGACAGCGTGGCCTTCCAAAGGTTCAAGAGTGTAGGGTTGCACGCACGCTAAAAGTATTGATTGGTTCGACAAAGTATTGAAGAGTTGAGCATACGCGGAAAGGGCCTCCGCTCCACAGCATTTCTGATGATGAATGGGTTGAACACATTTGGTGAGAAAGAGTTGAGCGCTCAAGAACAATAGCTTGAACTAGCTTACACGTACATCCTGCGTGAATGCGACGGCATCACCAGTAATATGCCTGAATAAGGCCCACTAAAATTTGAATTTGGTCGCACGTCGCAAAAAAAGCACTGAACATTGTTTAAGGTGCAGATTAATGGTACAAGCGCAGTTCATTCCCCTAAGGTCACCTAAAAAGTGATGGGCGTCTAGTTGGTCAATGCTGGCTCAATCCACCCAAAAATGCTCAACCACTGGAACGTCGGCCTCTCATTTAACGTATTTTTTCGATGGACAATCCAGATGAGTAGAGTCGCTTTTTCAAGTGCAATTACAGTGGACATCCAAGCATATTTAGGCCAAACTTCTGAACATTGTTCTTGATACACCGGTCGCACGATTTCTACTGGTACTGAAAAACCTGATGCTGCCGGCATCAAGGAATACTTCTGTATAGAGCCTTGCAGTTCAACCGTATCATCTGGTAGCAATCAACAACTGAAGCGCATACATTGCTCCAAGGAGTACGCACTTGAACTCTACAGTACTCATTGTAGTATTGTGAAACGAATCACGTCTCGGCTATCAGCCAGCTGTAGATAGGCAGCTGCCGTCCACGTGACTCATTCGTGATCAAGGACGGCGTCCTTTCAGCGTACAAACCCCCTAGAACGTCCAGAAAGGGGATCGTACAAATCTTGACATCCCTTGCTTGCTCGGACAATACCGCTACGAGGAATCGTAGAGTTCGTACTAAGGAACTACCATTTTCGAAGGATTACTGCCCCAAAATATATCCTTACCTTTTAAGCGCCCATGCATAAATACCGAGTGGCTGATCTACCCATTCAAAATGCGAAATCATTCTTTCTTAGCCTTCCAACAGGTAAAATTTAAACCAAAACTGCTCCTAATCCTTTGGGCGGTTGGTACAGCAAGCTGGTTCTCACTGAGCAGGGCGACCCCGGATATAGAACCCACTCTTGAGTCACTGCGGCGGAATCATCTAGGAGAACCATGGCCTGCACAAACCGTGGTCTCTTTATGTCCTGTATTATTCCGGCCAACTCTGATCTATCAGCCAATCTTTTCAGGGATGAAGGACTGGTCATCACTTCTTCTAGAACGGTGGCCTCGAAAGCGAAAATCATGGCCCAGGCGCCGATATAATGCAGCCTTCGTCTCTTTACGCATAGTACAATTCGCTCATCCCCCACTATAAAATTTAAAGCTCTCATTTGAATAGAGTGAACGCAAGGAACCATGCCGGATACTAAAGTAGGTACGACGCATCCAAAACTGCAAGAGAGCTCGAGGCCAAGCAGGAAGTCAATTCGCCAGAAGCGAGACCGTCGCAAAACCGGCTTAATGAAAAAAGCCTCCGAGTATAGCAAGATGTGCGGCGCCAATGTCTGTTTAGGTATACGCATAAGGGACACTGGTCGCGTCTATATGTTTTCTGCGGATGCTTCGGGATTTTGGGGATTCGTTGGATCACAGTTGGTATCACCCCTTATACGCATATGTCTTCAATAGCTGATTCGTTTAGGGCTCCTATTATCCGACTCCAAGTCAGATCACTGTCAAGGGCATTGGCAAGTCGGGAGATCAAGAGCTATCTTCCGCTCAATAGAGGCGGAACCGAAAAACGCATGGGACACTCCGTGGAGACTGGCCTGCACAAGGGTTTAACCGCTATAATGGTTGTAATCCTCAAAGAAGAAAGCATGGGAACGCTATGCCCGACCCTGTATTTATGATTACGTCTTTTAAGGGTAAGGCAGAATCAACAGACATGATATGTATAGAGCATGACCATTTTTTAGTCATTTATCTGAACGTTTTTCCGCGCACTCTCCTTGTTGTCTCTGAAGACATTGTGAAGAAATGTGATCAGCGCTTGAGTCACCCAGAACGGCTGGAACAGTCTCCGAGAAACAGAGGTGATTATTAATGTGCATCACTGCTCATAGATGTATCCGTATTCCGCCACAGTGCAAAATTTAGAATCAAAGCCGTCACGCTGCCTCTAAGACTCAGACCATCTCAGTGGATTTCTTCTTCTTCGACCAGTCAATGCTGTAAAAGCCACGCAGATCGCGAATATTAGGGTTCATCCCTTTTCGCACAAGCAGTGGCGCCACTTCAGCCTGGCCTTCTTTGGCGGTGGAGTGCTGTCTGTCCATCCTCTGTCGACTTTGTCGATCAAGAATTCCACCATAGGCTCCAAGCCTCGTCTTACCACCTCTTTACGACGCGGTATATTTCCACCCCAAATCGTTTTTATATTTGCTCCATGAATTTGTCGCATTTGAGATGCATATGAACAATGCAGCGTAACGGCAAGTAGCCTCTAGCGTAACCCGATATTGTGATGTTTAGGAAATTGAAAGAATAGCTGGTCGCAACTCTCAGTTGAGACAGCCCACCACACGTGACTTTCATCACCAAAGCTCTCCGATTGACGCACGACTCTCCTCGGCTGACCGGAATACAACGGCATGGGTTTTCCCGCCGAACTGCCCCTCTTACCCCTCATTGACCACCCACCACTCTAGCCAGTATCATCAGGTTTTCATCTTTATACTTTGTTGCCTGACGACAACAGGTTGGCCCAGGGCTTTCTGAAATATTTCCCTTCCACTATACGACAATAACCCAAATTTTACTTGGTTTCATTGTATTAAACCTAACACTTATCATCCATTGATTCAGATTCTAATTCAACCCATTAGGATGGTTTGCCGGCAAGATTTATCTGCTTTGCAGGAATTTGACGTCTCACGACTTGTCGAACTTTGATGTGCAGTTCCGAGGTACTTGTTGTAGCAGCTCTTAGACAGTAGCTGTACTTGTGACGACCACACAAGGCCATTGTTGCTAAAACGAAACGAGCAAGCAGACACGACTTCCATTAGCTCTTGCGTCTGAATACACCCAGGCTTTAAGCCTGCACCTGCGGCTTTCGCTGTAGTCCGACGTCATACTTTAGCTGTCGACCATGGATGTATGGTACTACCCTATTCCAGCAGCGACTGCTGAGGATCGAAAAGCTCTCTTGGAGAGCTTAGTGGAAAAGGTGAGCTTCTAGGATTATTCTGACAGACGACATTTGCAACTTATCAGCTAATTCCATTGTTTTAGTTTGGAAATGAATTCGAAGAATCGCGTGTGGAATCGATCGACGAGGATTGGACTTATCATTACACAAGGATGATCCAGGGCCACCAACATAAGCGCGTTGTCATCTTCAGACCAGCACCAAGCAAAAACCGGTTCGGTTGTATAAGGATCAGGAACGGACAAAACATGAAAGAGACAATCTGGGACTGCGTGAGCCAAGAGAACGTATATATTGGGCTTGTACCCGCGGATTGTCCTTTTGAGGCAATGTTGGTGGAGATAAAGCTTATCACGCTAAAACAGACTGAAAAATCATCGGCAGCTTGAACTGGGAACCGATGTCGATGGCTTCAGGGCGTGGGATTGAAAGAACAATCGATGCCACGCGATCCTCAACAGGTATCGTTAAGATTATTGAATGAGATTCACCAGCTGTTATACTCTCATATCTTTCCCATATTTTATGGAATTCCCGGGGGCTGAGGAGAAAGGCGGTTTCGATCATATTCGACGCTGGCCAGCTGTTACTTATCTGAGGTCTTCACAAGATTTAGTACGACGTACCTGGATCTTCGTCGCCTCCATCATTTGAGTTATTGACAGTTTCATCACTTGGCCGTCTCTTTCTCGGAGACATCGGAAGATTAGTGGCATTTTGTTTGTTCAAGGGCATTTTTCCTGGCCCTAGATTAGGTTAGCTTTTTTATATTTCACTACCTGATTGAATTACTTGCCGCCAGTCAAGAGGGCTAAGGCTGGTGTCTCGTGTCCGGGAGGTACAGCTTCACTGTCATACCATTCGATGCTGTTGCACCCAATGACA